CAGTTCTCATTACTGCATTGCAGGGAACAGGCTTTTGTAGCCAGCTATGCCAGGAATAAGATCTACCTGAGCCTCGAGATAAACTGGTCAAGGGCCATTGCTGAAGAGCACCGGCCCTTTTTCAGGATACTGGAGCCCCTCTTCCACCCCATACAGATCCCCAAAACAATGTTTCTTGGCAAATCAGTATTAAACACGGACAGTAAACTATCTGCACTCACTCTTGAAATATTGAAATCGCCTTACGACGAAGCCCTCAGTGCATTGCTTTTCCAGCACAAAGTGCGGGAATACCTGATGCTGGTCCTGCTGGCTGCCGGTAAAATACCCGCTACCGGGCTGCGGTTATCACCCGATGAATGGAAAAAAATAGACGCCATTGCAGCGCTTTTAAAAAATGAGCACGAGAAAAAATTCCCCATTGTAAAACTGGCTGCCACTGCGCAAATGAATCCGACAAAATTAAAAAAGGGATTCAGTGAAAAATATGGAAGCGGTGTGTTTGAATTCCAGATGGAGTGCCGCATGAACGAAGCCATGCGCCTGCTCAAAGAAACCAATATGCCGCTGAAGGAAATCAGGGCAGAGGTCGGCTACAAGGGCCTGAGCAGTTTTATCACCAAATTCCATGAGTACCATGGTATCACGCCCGGTAAGGTGGTAAGACCCAACCATTAAAATTCCGTCCGTTTGCCAACAATAAACTTCCATTTGCCAATACCTTATTTTTGGAAGAAAGCACCGTCCTGCAGCAACTTTACCAATGTAAAATTGCTGGTATGCGGAAACTCATCATCGTTGAAATCATTGCAGGCCTGCTAGTAATATTATTCGTTTACGCAGCCATTTCCAAATTACTGGACTTTGAACAGTTCCGGATGCAACTGGCGCAATCCCCGCTGCTGTACTATGCACCCAATACCATTGCATGGCTGATTCCTGGTACTGAACTAGTCATTGCCCTGGCACTGTTCAGCAGGCGATGGCGGCTTGCTGGCCTCTATGCCTCTTTTACCCTGATGATCATATTTTCCGGGTATATCATTGCCATTACTCACAACAGTGAGTTTATACCCTGTTCCTGTGGTGGTGTGTTATCAAAAATGAGCTGGAACCAGCACCTTGTATTTAATTTCGGCTTTGTAATACTTGCCGGACTGGCCATCCTCTTATTCCGTCCGGATAATGATATTGTTTATACTAATACCAATGTATTTAAATGTAGTGCTATAGCCACCGCCTCTGATCAGGGCGGAACAGGGATTGCCGAAAACCTGTAATAGAGTAAGCGCCTCATTCTTAAATTTTACAACATGAAACAGTCAAAGATTCTGATGGGTATCGCGTTTGTATTGGCCGTAAGCGCTGCATTCGCTTTTAAACCCGCTGCGCAAAAAACCTTTACTGCCCGGTTCCAGTTGGTAGGAAGTTCCTGTAACGCCATTGAAACCAGTCAATGTGATGGTCCTAACACCAATACACTTTGCTCAGACATTTTTGTCAGTAAAAATGCTTTACAGCAATGCCAGGGACCGACCTACAGAACTGTCAATCCTTAGAAAATCAGGAAGGAACCGGCCAGGACCGGTTCCTTTTAAAAATTGAAAGAAATTGAATCAATACATGTACAGTACAAAAACAAAATCTAAATGGATGGGGCTCTGCGCTTTTGCGGGGCTGCTGTCAATCACAGGTTTGTTGTTTGTATCAAAAGGAAATCGACCAGGCAAGGGTAATTTCAACCGCATGGTACCGCCACATTCCCTGCTCTATCAGAACGACATAAAACTACCCGGCAAAAATTATTACTTCGCCGGGTGCACGAATGCAGGTTTTTTCCTGGCAGTAAAAAACAAGCCCAATGAGCTTACCTGTATCAACAGGAGACTGACAACCATAAAAACCCAATCCCTTGTCTTTCCGGGAAAAACAGCTTTATTTTCTCCCGAACTGGCCCTGACTGTAGATAGTACCATCTTTGTATTCGACGGCTCCTTACCCGGTATATGGAGTACCCGTTTACCGGATTCTTTGCTGGTTTACAATTCCGCAGCCAGCATCAACTTCCGAAAAGCCCTCCCCTTCCGTGATGGTCAAATCCTACTCCAACAATTCGATACGGTGACTAAGAAAATACTGTTCAATCAATACCAACTGTCCACAGGCAAAAGACTGGAAGCCAGCTATGCACCTGAAGCCATGGGTGATCCGGTATTCAGTGTTGATGGCACCATCGAAACAGATCCCGGTTCAGGAAAAATGGTATTCCTCTACTTTTACCGCAACCGTTATGATGTACTGGACAGCAATTGCCAATTAAAACACAAGGGACAGACGATTGATACAGTCAACCACCCTTTACTTGCCGTCAGCAGTTTTGGCAACAGGCGTATTTTAGCTGCACCTCCCCTAATCGTAAATAAATCCTGTGCTATTGATGGCGACCGGCTGTATATCATGGGGGGCAGCTCGGCAAAAAATGATCCGCCCGGAATTATGAAAGACGCCGCTGTTGTTGATGTATACAAGCTCTCCACCGGTGCTTACCTGCAAAGTCTGTATGCCTATGATTTCAGGGATCAGAAACTATCAGCTTTCATTGTAAAAGGCGATACATTAACCGGCATATTCGGCGGCTGGCTGGCCAGGTTTACTATTGAAAGGGTCAGGTCAGATCGATGAAGCATCTAATTATAAATTACACTTACAGACAAAACAATCTGGCAGAACTCATTAACTTTCTTAAATACCGCATACCCAGTGTTCTGTGTTCGTTGACGGTATGTATAGACAATTGCAGCTCCTTGGCCGCCACCCGGACTGATTTTCCTTCCTTAAATAATAGCCTGAATATCCTGCGCCGTTGCGGCGGCAATTGATCCATACTTACATGCAATTCCCTCATCAGTTCCGCCAGGATGATGTGCTCTATAATTGTTTTGTCGCGGTCCTGTCCATTGATAAAGCCGGTATGCTTAATCCGGTCCCTGGCTTTCTTTCGCTGGTGACTGATACAGCTGTTTCGCACTGCACGGTAGAGATAGGTTTTTAATACCGCTAGTTCATAAAAGATGTCTCTTTTCTCCCAGACTTTCAAAAAACAATCACTGGCAATATCCTCCGCTACCTGACCATCCTCCACCATCTTCAGCGCAAAAAAACACAGTGAAGAATAGAAAAGCCGGTATACGGTACTAAATGCCTGTTCATCGCCTTTCCGGAACCCTTCCAGCAATGCAGTGTTATCATATATTTGCATGTCCCGCATATGCTTCAAGTTATAGTTGTTAATATTATCAGCAGGCAGCTTATTTAAATATTCCCTAAGGAACTTCTACGACCAACACATTGACTTCCCTGTTTTCCAGCCTTAGATGCATCTTGTACTGCGACAAAGCCTTGTCAATGGATTCCCAACTGGACATATCGGCTTTGATGGAAAAATACGCCTGGCCTTTATACCCTGTTTCATCAATTATAGGGTAAGGAGAGTAGCCTAAATAACCACTGCTTAAGGCTACACGGAAGTATTTTAAAGGATTGTCCAGCAAGTTATAGCTGTATAAAGTCGCAGATTTTTCCTTTAGGGGAAGACTGTCCAGGGGAAGGGGCCGGATCAGCAGGGTGTCCTCTGCCGTCAGTACCAGGCTGGGCATGGTTCGTTTTTCCCAATACACTTTTAAATGAAAATAACGGTCCATATCCTCCTGCATGATCCTCCGCAGCTGCAGTTCATTGGTCACCGGCGTCCAAAGGCTGTAACAATATTGCTGACCTGATATTTTTTGCATACCGTCATATTTCACAAAATAGGGAAGACTGTCTTTTACATTTTTAAATATGATGCGGCTATTAGGAAGCCGTGCATACGAGACTGCCGTATCATCAGAATAGGCGGTTTTGTACAAAGTGAAAATATCCACATTGGTTTCCTGTACGTTGCCCGTGACACCATCTGTACCGAACTGACTGCCGTTTCTCATTCCATCAACAAAGCCGGAAAGCACAGAATGCCAGCGGACCGCATGCCCGTCCCCCCCATTGCCATTGATAAAAAGTGGTTTTGAAAAGTCCTGAAATGCCTCCCGCAGGGCATCATCCTTTACCGGCAGACTTATTTTTTTCTGCGCAATAATGTCCCGGATATTGTTTTCCGTCAATTCCGCCGCATTGGTAATGGCCCTGACAATCCCCTTTCGGTCAATCCATACATAATGCGGTTTGGAATCATGGGGAAATAGTTTTTTAAATATCGTATCAGCTGTTATTACCGGGAAATCCGGCAGGGGTCGCCCCGCCCCTTTTCTTTGACGAATAAATTGAGTGACTGTGCTGTCTTTTTCATCAGTCACCAGCAGCACATTAAAATCGCGGCCGAATGTTTTTTTAAACTTTTCCATTTTCGGAAAGGCGGCGATGCAGGAACCACACCAAGTGGCCCAGAAATCCACCAGCAATAAAGGCGCTGAAAAATCAGCCAGCTTTTTTGTAATCCCAGGCTTTTGCCCATACACCCTGATAGAAAAATTGGGTATGGGCTGACCGATGCTAACCGGTGTATAAACTGCAGCGGCGGATCGCTTTTGGGCAATGGCTGCACTGCCAATGAACATGGACAAGAGAAAACAATAAAAAACATATCTGTAAGTAGTCATTAGGAAAAATTAAATGGTGAAACAAAACGATCCCCCGTCAACCCGCCGAAGCAGGTTGAGGGATCGTAGCGGGAACAGGAATTTTTTAGTAGCCGGGATTCTGGGTGAGCTGCTGATCATTCTGCAGCTCCAGCAATGGAATGGGATAAAGTGCATCCGTGGTCTGCCAGTTGGGTGCTTTGCTGCTGCCAAGGACCATATCTAATACTGCTGTTCTTTTCAGGTCCAGCCATCGCTGACCCCATTCACAAAATAATTCGAGGCGGCGTTCCATGGCAATAGCATCCAGGGTTGCCTGCCTGGTAGCAGGCGCAATGGAAGGCAGTCCTGCACGGCTGCGGAGGGAATTGACATCCTGGGCAGCGCCGCTGAGATCATTGAGCTGTGCCCTTGCTTCTGCCCTGATCAGGTATTGCTCCGCGAGGCGGAAGACCACGCTGTATTCTGTATTGGTGGAGCTGAGGCGTGCCTTGTATTTATAGTTATAATAATAGGTCTTGCTGCCACTGGTGTACATGCCGATCCATAGTTGTTTTCTTTTATCAACTGAATCAAAAGCATTGACCAGTCCCGGCTGCAGGCTGGTATTAGAGGGCGTTCCGGTCAGGATAAAATTATACCCTTCGGAAGCATTGTAACTGGGCACAACCGCCTGCAATTGCCAGATGGTTTCGGTGCTGTTTTTTAAAAATACTTTATTCGGATCACTGACCAGCGCGTATACTGAAGCCTCATTGATGATCTGGCTCGCCATGGCTGCCGCCTTTGCATAGTCTGCGGTATACAAATAGATCCTGGCCAGCAGCGCACGGGCCGTCCATTTATTAGGACGAATCCTTTCTGCCATGGCATAGGTTTCCGGGAGCAGGTTTTCTGCATCCAGCAAATCAGCAATGATCTGCTGGTATACATTGGCTTTGTCTGTTCTGCCCAGGGCTGCATTGCGGCGATAATCTGTGCTGCTGACATAGGGTATATCACCCCAGCAATTGACCAGGTAGAAATGAAAAAAGGCCCGCAGGAATTTGGCTTCTCCTGTTAACTGTGCTTTTGTGGCGGCGGTAACGCCGGTGGCGTTTTGCAAGCCCTCCAGTACAGCATTAGCGCGGTAGATAAAATTATAGGTCGTTCTCCAGATGGCCAGGTTAGTCGTATTGCCCGCTGAAATATTATTAACGTAGAATTCAGCGCGGTCAGCAGCGGTGGAATAATTAACCAGTTCATCGGAAGATAATCCCGCCAACAGGGTAAAACTCTGGTTACCGCCAGGCGCATAACCAGCAGGTGCAGCGGCGATACTGCTGTAGATACTTACCAGTGCAGCTGTGGCTTTGGCATCATCGGTATACACGTTCTCCGTGACGATACTGGCCGAAGGCGGATCAACACTGACCAGTTTACTGCATCGGATGGTGAGGCAGCTATACAGGGAAAGCAGAAAAATAAGCAATGCAGGGTTAAGGTATAACCTGAAAAAATAGCTATAATAGGAATGTTTCATGGTCTTGCTTTAAAAGTTGAATTGAAATCCCACGGTGATTACTTTCAGCGGTGGTAATACCAGGCCGGTATTGGTTTCCGGGTCGAGGCCTTTATAGGAAGTAAAAGTCAATAGGTTCTGACCCTGCAGAAAAACCCTTAACCCCTTGAGATGGTATTGACTGAGCGTTTTTTCAGGAAGCGTATAAGAAAGGGAAAGATTTTTTAAGCGCCCGTAAGAAGCATCAGTCACATTGCCATTACCCAGTGACTGGTTATCATTATAGGCCTGGTAGGCTGCCGAACCATAGTCTTG